CTCATAATAAAAAAAATTAAACTAAATATTATATGTTATAAAATATTTGGTTATTCTTGTATTTTTCATATTTCCAATATTAGTTGTTAACAAATATGAGTAATATATTGAATTAAAGGTAAAATACAGTTTTATGTAAAATAGAATGAATATGTATATGAAGTAAATATTTTCAAAAGGATATTCATCGATGTAAGATTCAAAGATATAGGATAAAAAACCTTCAAATATCTCAACATCCTGCAATTTAAATTTGAATGTTCGGAATGTCGTAGTTTGTTATTGAGGTTATTAGTAAATTACTAACGGGATGTTCACAATTAAGCGAGCAGTTGCATAGTGACAGAAATGAGTACAGTGTATAGCCAAACTTTATGAATGGGTGAATAATATTCATGACAGTGCAACGATATCGTAATGTCACTTAATTCCTATGTTTAATAAAATAGATTTATCCAAATCTAACCTTGCTTCGGGCAACGTGGCCAAAGATAGTACGTCCCAGGTATCAAGAGAAGTGCCAAAAATGAAAGTAAAACGTAGAAAAATTTTCCACCACTTTCGTCATATTGAAATTTTTGGCCACTCATAGTTCATTAAATAATAATATTTAAGTATATTGTTTAAGTACATTCATTACTAAATTTCACTTTGAATTTACGGTACCATCCAATATACAGTAAAGTTACAGAGTTGTCGCTGTCAATATTGCCAACTCAGCACAGAATGCTAACTGTGCAGGCACAGACTAGTCTTACAGAGGAGGAAACTTCTGTCAAACCTTTAATGTTTGCGTCACTAAATCGTACGACCTTGAAATATTACTACACACCAATGTTGTCACTTCTTTGCAAATGTTTTTCCGTCTTTCTCTATGAACCACTGAATGGAAGAGGAAGGGGAGGATATACGTGAAGAATAAAAAACTGTGCTAAGCGCGGTAATATTTAAAATGTAATACTATAAGAAATTGTAATTCAGAATTTTGTATGTGTGTGTTAATTCATGTTCATGAATTAATTAAATTCATAAACTAAATTATTGTGAGAAAATTATAATCATCACATTAGCTATATAATTTAATATTAAGAAAAAATTTAGAATCACATACAGTGGCCTACAAAAGTGTTCGTATATCTTTTAAAATGAGTTAAATTTGTTTCGACAAACACATTACAACAAATTAAAGATCGTAAAAATCGCAGCTGTCACGATCTTTTACACATTTAACCAAGAAGTGTAAGAAATCTGCAGTTTTAAAAATCTTTCAAGGTTGTTTACGGATTAACCGATTTCGATCAAATTTTCAGCACGTATGTAGATTACTGAGGTCTATGAAAAGCATTTTTTAAATTTTCGTTATTAGCTCAGATAAAAAAGTTAGAAAACGAAAGTTTTTTCATTTTTTTTGTCATTTCAAGTAATAGCAAAATTTAAAAAAAACATTTTAGTCAATATCTAATAGACTAGTCCCTCTATCACCTAAAAAAAAATCGTCATTAAGTACAGTTTTAAGCAAGTTATTGCGTTTTAAAAGGTGTACGAACATTTTTGTAGGCTGCTGTACATGTTAAGTCACACCCTCTACTCCGACTACATATTCATTATGTACATCATTAAATAATAAAAATATAGATCAACGCAATGATGCCGAATATCATTTCTGTACCGCACGAAGTTATCGAAAGTTCACGATTTTATTTATGCCTATATTCAGTATGTAAATGTATGTACATATGTATCTATGTATGTAATTATCTTCTTGCTATGTATAAGAGACAAATAAAGTCACGACACTGAACAACTGTTTCCGTCCATTCAACTCTTATTACGTACTTCAGATTTGCATTACAAGAGTAGAATGGACAACTATACAACTTCAACTACATCACTTTTCGAGAAATAGATTATATGTATATAATTCGAATAAATATATATACATCTAGGTAAAGAGTTTGCACAATTTTATTTGCTGAGAGGAAATGCATGATGGCGCGCATGTTATGTACGATTCAAATGTAATTCAGTAATGGGTTCTACTCCTGCACACCTGCAGGCCGCAGTTTGATCCATTAGCGAGAGTCGGTATAGAAATTTTCTTTACCCTGATTGGCTGACGATTCAATACTGAACAATGCTGCTCTCGCAGTCAAAAACAAAGAGAGAAAACAGCAAGTGAGCAAGAGAGTATGAAATCAGCACAACTTCATGTGGAACAAGTTACACCGGCGAACGATATAGTTTGTCTCACTCTACCGTGCTTGTCACTTCTCTCTCTCTACCTCCTTAACACTTATTTCCACCGCCTACACTGCGAATTTCGTGTTATATTCCTTGAATGCTAGCATTCCTAGCACATTGCTTGCTTAGCTCAAAACATGTCATAAAAAATTGGCACGACACTAATTCGAGGCAAGTGCGTTTAGAATTTTTGCGTTCTTCGAGCCAATGTTAAATGCACTACAGCCTACGAGCTACATTGTCTTAAGCATTCCAGGAAAAAGTATAAGAGTTAATTTTTGTTTGTTTAAACATTTCTTAGTCAAACTAACATCCGTTCAATTTTTAACATTTTACATTTTCTCGCGCTAAAATTCACACCGATAACCTCAGCTAGATCCTGTGCAATTTGTCAAAACATTTCCTGGAAATATATGTACCTCAATGTGCATTGAACATCGATCGCAAATATGCTGAATGATCGGACCGAGCATCCTAAGATGCGCAACAGATTTCATTATTTGAAATTTGAAGCTCCTTTACAATTAGAATTTCACGACGCGTGCTTCAGATGGCACATTCAGGCGTATCAACCGAACGAATGTGCGGAAAGAGTAAAACCGCAAGCACGGCAGAATAAGCCAAGTTAAGTTTCTCGTCCGTGTGTACACTCTCACGTAAAACTCAATTGGTATCGTTCTCTCTTTCTCTCAGTCGTATCTGGTTCTCTTGCTACAGTACTTGCGCGAAGCTGGATGTGCAGTAAAATGGGGGGGGGGGGGGGGGGGGGGC